GCCTTGCATTTCGTAAAGTAGAAGCGACTGAATCTACTCTTCTTAAAGAATGAAGCATCCTTAATCTTTGAACAGCAAGGCCTTGCTGTCTAAGTGATCCTTGAACAAGCCTTAATCCTGCAGACGGGTTAGAAGGCATCACTTCTTGAACAACATTGTCAAGTTTGGTGTCACTTATGTCAGAGTACTCTCTTCAACCTTCAACCTCCCTTCAACCCTCATGCCGAATTCATGTCTTTGTCGGCGCAATGTTCTGCTTGAAACTTGCAACATATGTGCAACGTCATTCCAACGAAAGCCTCCTGCATTGTGTAATGCTTCAAGCTGGGATTGTGTAATCTCTACCCTCGGCCGTCCTCGTCCTTCATTTGTATTTTCTAAGCGACTGCCTATTCTGTATTCTTCCTCGCAGTTGTCATCTTGCGTATTGTTGGATCGACCTTTAAATTCTTGACGCAGTGCCCCCAAGCAATTTTGAAGATACTTGATGTCTTGAAAAGAATGAATTACATCAGGCAAATTTTGATAAGTTTCGTTCAGCCTTGATAGCAAAGTCAATACAGTTCGTTCATACTCGTCCAGACGGCGTATGAGGTATTTGGAGCAGGTTTGAGAGTGTAACTGCCTCTCTGAATTTTCAATAAGTCATCCAAAAGAGTAAAAAATTTATTCAAAATTTGGAAGCCATCAATGCGCCATTTTTACGTGCATATTCAAACCATGAAAAGACACAAATGCAAGCCTTTTTAGATACCTACGGAACTTTGTCCCCCAAGCAGTAAATCCCTTTTTTCGGTTTCATCCTGATAACTTCCGTATCCTATCAAATATATTTTTTTTACTTCCTCTCGACTTTAATAAAAAAGTAAACTTCAATTGACGTATTTTGGAATTCGATTATCGTATTTTAAACTTCGGTTATTGTATTTTCGATTATCGTATTTTCAACTTCGATTATCGTTTTCTCAATTTCTATTCCAAAATATTTGAATTAGAATTGAATTATTTTACCTCGTATTTTTGTCTGCAATGGAACGCAATGGAACGCCATATTTTATTCTGTTGAATGTTCTCCAGAAAAGGCTTTGTTAACATTAATATCTGCTGTTAAATCATTCACTATGTAGCATTCCTCATCAAATCTATTAGGAGGTCTTTACGTTCTTCGTTCTCCAATATTGAAGACTTAGTTCATGAATCTATCTTGAAAGGTTTCTTTCACTTGCTCGTTATCAGCTGGTTTGTCATCAGCCGGTTGGTTAGCTTCAATATTGTCTGCAACTTCTTGATCAATAACCTCAGTTTGATCTTGGTTTACATTTACAGGAATTTCTTTCATTCTGATCTGAACTTTAGCATTAGAATAATTATCAAAACTTAATGAACTTTGCACATTAAAGTTAAAGAATTTCTACTCCAGAAATATGCCAAAACCTCAAAAAATTTACAACCAATTAGCTGAAATAACTCATATCTCTTCATGTTGTTCATGTTGCCATGCAACACAGATCTAGTTGTTTCGATGATTGTGCGGTTCATCGTCTCTACCGTTCTGTGCTGGATTGTACCGGATAGTCAATTGGTGAAGCATACAATTCCTCTTCAGAAAGGATTGCAATTCTTCAGGGATAGTCATCAATGAATGTTACATAATATCTTGATCCACCAAATGAAGGTATGAACGACACCGCGGAAATTGGTAGACTTAGCCGTAATTCTCAATACTTAGACTTTAAATTCGGCAAGCTAAAAGATTTATAAATACTCAACAAAATATCTCTTGCACAAAAGATTTGAAGCTTGCACACGGCAAAAACAAATCATCTGAAAATGTCTCAAAATGGCCATTTTACGGTGGCAGATGCATACGAAGACCCTTCAAAAGTTTCCAAAACCGATATTGGAAGAAAAATTGAACTTGTTTTCAACTTATTTGATAGTATTTTCTTTGACAGCAGTTTCTGAATACTGGGATTCAAATGTGAGCAACTGATGAGATATTTGACTTCCAACACCAATTTCTGCTGTGTCGGTATGAACGTTGCTGTGTACATAAGTTGCTGTGTACAAGTTCATGTTTTCTTTTTGCCCAAAAGGTGGCATTCTTTGGATATGGACAACAATGTTGCTTCCCTTTAATGCATGCTTCACATGGGAATATGAGAGAAATATATTTGATTGGCTAAACAGCTTAAGGAAATGGATTGAAAGAAGGAGTTATTGACATTGCATTCAGTTGTGTTCCGGATCTTGTGCAAGAGGTAAGTGATTTTGGAGGAGCTTCTATCCTTTGTAGGAGACGTGTTTGCAGTATAAAGTGCATGTACATAAGCACATAAGCAAGTTTCATTATATAATTTTGCATCATAGATGTGTGTTCAAAAATTGAAATAACTAGTATTTATTCGTCATTTGTTTGTAATTTAACTTTCGTTACTTGACTCTGACATCAGGATATAGTATAGTAATTGTTGCCAAAGGCCAGGAACTTCTCGTTGTCTCGTTCATCACCAGCACAATGTCTCCTTCATGAAAATTCCTATTCGCATGGTTTAATTTTTGTCTGCTTTGAAGAAGAGGTAAATACTCAAGTGTCCAGCATATCCAAAATTGGTTGGCTATGTACTGCATGTGTCACCATAATCACAAGTAGCAATCCTTCTTTGTAAACATACCAGGTGGTCTGGACCAGCCTGTAAGAAAAGTAGACGATTCTGGGTAAGTGCTTCTAAATCTCTTGGATCACTTGAGACACTTGTAAGTGGTCTTCCATTTAAGATTGCTTCAACTTCACACATGAATGTAGGTAAAAGCTTACCTTGATTTTCGACGTAGCAGAGAACAGACATGCTGTCAGTCCAGAATACAGAATCATCAACAGGTAATTCTAATTCTCATTTTGCCATCTTGTCAAGTTGAACAGAAATGGTCACCACCAACAGTTCTGGTCTTGGTATGGCCATCGATTTGAGTGGAGCTACCTACAATTTTCCAATCATGAAAGCACAGTGGATCTTCTTATTTTGTACCATTTGACCATTTGTACATACAAAATGGTGCTACAGCTACCTTCAGATGCATCAGAGAAATTATGTAATCAACAGGACACAACCAGAGTTGGTAGATATGCAAATATTTGAGGCCAAATTGTCATTAGTGCTATCAAGAAAACAAAGAAAACAAAAGGCAAAGACAAAGGAAACAAAGAACTAGTGTGATGTCGTTTGGCCTCAAATATGCAGCTATCTACCAACCCTGGACACAACCAGACCAAGTTCGACTGGTTTGTAACAATGATTGACCGAGAATTCTGCTAAATGTGGTAATCCTGCTAACCATTTCTTCCAACAAATCAGATGTTCCACCGCAATAGATTTGTCTCAACCAATCCCTTTGTGACACAGTTCTTGTAGAATTATTTAGCTGGTAGAATGAATGTCACTGCCATGCCCAAAGGATCATAAATGGAGGTAACTGTTGGAAGAATACTATGCTGAGTATATGGACGAGATTTAATTGTGACGTTGTAACCAATGACATCCATTCCAATATTCCAATGGGTTCCGAAAGCTTTTCAATTGGCAAGTCTTTTAAGTCAAGATTCTTGACTGTAGCTGCTCTTTCTGTTTCAGGAACAGCTTTGAGGACTCGTCGAGAGTTAGATAAGCATTTTGTTAGCTGAAACCCACATATTTTAAGCAATCATCCATGCAGAAGTTGCGAGTTACCTCTGAATGACCTCTGCATCGAAATAATTCTTGTCATCTTGGCAGTCTTCTGAATTGCAAAACTGCAGCAACTTGGGGATGACACTGCTCCAAATAGATTAACTTTCATTCTATACTCGACTGGTTATAGCTGTTTCCATATCTTTGACTTCATGGCAATAAACGTTGGACTGGCTGTGTCTCAGTTGCTGCACGCTCATGTCCATAACTTTTGACTGCTTTAACTGGACTGTGTAACTTTTCCATGCAGGATCTTCCTTTTAACTCATTGTCGACAAGTGGATATTCAACCCGACAATATTGTCGGGAAAAGCAAAACATTAAATATCTCAGCAAGTATTTGGACTAAAGACCCTGGAATACCACCAAACGATAGAGCTTGAAAAGACGATTTAAATAGTATTTTAAAACCTGCATATAGTAATAAACTGCATTTGTATTATAAGTCAAAACATGAATCAAATAATATGTTGCTTTGTTATCTCAAATTACTCCCCATAGCAACCATATTACTTTAGAAATTCAGTATTTTCTCGCTTTTTTTTGTGCTCTGTGTTCTTTAAAATGTCTGAATTTCACATACTATCATTCTGTCATAGTTCTGAGTAATTGTTAGGGTAGGATGTGCAAAAGAAGCGGAGAAAATAGCATTTTATAAGTTCTAAGCGATAATTGTTGCTAAGCGCATTCTTACCGCATGCTCGGAATGTTGTCATGCGGTTGGAAAATGTGACAAAACTCCCTAATGCCTTCCCCCTAGGGTAAATTTGACCCCGGAAATCGATTTCTGACGTAAAATTGGACCTAGGGGGCAGATTTTCGGCTTTTTTTGCCCGAATTTTTTTTCGATATTTTTATTATTGTGAAATATTATTGCCGGTGACGCGAAATTCATATCATCAATGTATGTTTATATAAAAAAACGGCAAAAATCTTCTAATGGCTCGATTTTGACGCTAAAGATATCAAAATAATCCTGAATATGTGAACTAAACCACTGCAACCCGTGTTCGTTTGAATTTTGGGCAATATTTTAAGGATTAGGCCGCTTTGATGTGCAATATTGAATAATATAAAAAGCACATGCTCTTTAAAGTGAATATCTTAGCGAATTGACAACATATTGATATAAAAAAAACATGTATCTACTGAGGACAATTTCTTCTTTAAAGTGTGCCTATTTTTGTTAAAATCGGTCAAGTATTCGAACAGGAATCGCAAGTTATAATCAGCAAACCACTTCGAAATGTCATCTGATATGTCGACAGTGAGTTAAAGCACATTACAAGATCGCAGCTTCTGATAATGAACTCTTGCTATGTTTGAGCTGTGTTTCAGGTCCTCCCATACAAATCGTTGTTCTTGCACATCTAAGTTGCTTGCGCTTCCCTTTTCTATAATCTGCCTATATCTTGTTGGATGAATGTATTTCCCTATAGCTTGAAAAACCAGAATGCTGAGTGGTTCGGTAAGCTTCTGAATTTGTCCAGTGAGAATGCATCTGTTTTGTCAAACATTGTCTTGCACACATTATATATACTTCGTGACAGAGAAGTTTTAAAGGACATGCCCAGCCTGTGAATGAAATCAATGAAAATCTAAGAAATCTGCTATACCGTTCACATAGCCAAGGTGGCCAGATTGTCCCATTTGCCAAACACTTTCTAAATGATCAAGAAAGTCTGTTAAAAATCTGGAAGAACATAAAAAATAATCGACAAGTTCGACTGTTGACAACACGAATTGTTCATCTTCGCCTGATTGTTCGCAACAGTACTTTACGAATTTAAATGCTCTGGTAACCAATATTTCAGCTTGCTTTCCACCGCTGTTCATGCTTTGAAGCCAAACACAAAATGATTGCCCTAACTCGGAATCTGTAGCACAACATGGCAGTGTTGCCTTGCTTGCCATCGAACTGCCTTATATCAGATGTTATTTCATGGCTTCGTCCAAGGATAGGCCTCGTTTGAAAGTATGTGTACCATGGATGCTTTATTTCCACATGCTTTTGGCATCCTCTTTGACTGGTAAAAGCTTGATGATCACAATTTGGGGTTGGGCAATGAAAGAATCCTTCTTTATCTCTTTCTAGGTGAAGTCTTCGGGGTTTTCGAAATGCACCTGTGACACTTTTCCAGTCAATGTTTGTCTGCTGTTGTGTCATGGAGCACCGGGCAAGCAAAAGGCTGGCAGACACTTAAGCTTCTTATTATAGGGCTAACTTATAAGGCTAACCTGAATACAAGACAGGCTATTTTCAATAGAAACTGCACGGGCTATGCCATATTCTATTCCATTCTACATAATATTTCTTTTTTACATTTAATCTTGATTCTTGATTCTTGTCTAATAAAGTTAGCTCGGGCCCTATTGAGGGTAGCAAGGCTTTAAATTCAGGGCTAACTTAAATAGAAGACGGGCTAACTTCAATAGAAGCCGGGCTAATTTCAATAGAAGACTGGCTAACTTCAATAGAAGATGGGCTATGCCAGATTCTATATTCCATTCCACCTAAATATTTCTTTTTACATTTAATATTCATGCGTGTGCAAGATGTGCATTAGCTTTAGCAAGCACTATTTTATATAGGCTACACGAATAGCATTCATCTTGAAATATGGAACCTAGCCTCAATTGAGGTTAGCCCTGCTTCTATTAACACAAGCTTCTATTGAAGTTAGCCCGACTATATTATTGAATTTAGCCTGGCTTCTAATAAAGTTAGCCTGGTTTCTAGTTGACCTGGCCTGGGCTCTATTGAGGTTAGCCGGGCTTAGAAGACAGGCTAACTTCAATGGAAGCCGGGTAAATTCAATAGAAGCCTCAACAGACTGAACCGGGCTATGCCGGATTCTATTTCATTCTACCAAATATTCCTTTTTCACATTTTATTCTGATGTGAATTCATACTACTTAGACACCATTGCCGAAATTTGTATACCTGTACATGTGCAAAAGAATAACTTCAGGTAGAAAGAAAAAGATGAATCATGGAAACCAATATTTCTACAGCATTCTTTTCAAATTCTATTCTATTTAACTGTTTTATTTTCCCATTCTTCCTTACGCCCATGCTACTTGAAGACTATTGCAAAAATAAATCAGATAGTCCAGAAGAGCTCAAGATGAAATGGTTAAATAATCATATTAGTAGTTTACAATTAAGGGCTAGTATACATGCAGATATACTGGAGATTCAAAGTGATGGTACGAGATTTATAATACACACTTTTAATGATTAAAAACCTTTGTTTGTTACGTCCTTGTATGCTTGTGGACTTACATATGTTGACACTAATTTTCACACAAAATATATAGGTTTTCAACTATGTGAGTTTACTGACAACGTGCAGAGCGCTTAACGATCAGACCATGAGACCCAGGTGGACTGTGTTTCTTTTGTGCAGCCTCTCCTTGACTGACCACAGCCAGATGATGTGGTTCTTTTTCCGTGAGGATTTCTGCAGCTTAGACTTTTATACCCACTACGCATTCTTTCGTCCGTACATTTGGGCAGCCGCCATACGTGGTGTGACATCCGAGATACTTGCGTACGCTGAATATGTAATATTCCACATGTACAAATTTCAACATGAACTTTCCACATTGAGTACTTTGCAAAGGCGACCGGTGATCAGCATCCACGTATCAATGTACGGATCTGGTTTTGTATTGTGAAATCCTTTTCCTTCCTCTTGGCCGAATTGCATTGTGCGGCGAATGCTATTGTAGGTTGTTGAGGCAAGCACTCTGTTTGAGACCTAATGAAAAAAAAAGTTTGCGAACATAAACAAAGAAAAGGTGGGAACAAAACATGTAGATTTACAAATGTACAGGATGATCTCTCACGAACCTCCACTTGATGTCCTCGTACACTTTGGCCAGGTAAACTTTGTTGTTGAGCACCCATCCATCATCCGGTTTGTGTATCCATTCGTTGTTTCCTTTTCCTTCTCCTTCTTCTTCATCTTGTTCCACCTCTTCGTTTTCATCCTCTTCATCAGACTGTAGTTTGTTGTCAAGACATTTTCTTTTAACTGAAGATCTATCACTGGATTATTTTTATTTCTCCTCCACATGTCTCAATTCTCCTTCTGACAATAAGGAAGAAGCCAGCGGCAAACTTCAGTGTAGTTGTCTTGCATTGTCGAGTTGGCCACATTCTCTGAAAAGGAAGAATGGACAGCGCAGGAGGGAGCAGGTGGCGCTGGCTTGTTAATTTTTTTAGGTCTTTCGCACTTATGTTGTTCACAACGGTTGAGTCGAATACCAATCTACAGTGGGTGGAAAATATTGTTGCTGAAAACTATTCAAACTATACCATAATTAAATTAATTTTTTTTGTTATATTTCGATTTCAAAGTGTGTAAAGTTATATAGAATATCATTTTATTTTTTTCATAGTTTGTTTAGTCCACAAACATTTTGAACCCAGGAATGCATATAAATTCAAGAATAATGCTCTCTATTTTACTATATTAAAACAGTTTTCTTACCATGTGATGTTGTCATTTATGACGGATGCTTGGGCGTCAATATTTTCAGACAATCTCTCCTTCTCTGGCACATGATGGATGTGGTCGTTAATCTCATTTGCCATCCAAACAACACAGTCCATTGCGTTATCGTGTATCGATTTTTCCATGCCTGGTGTTCATTGCGGTTTCGAAAGCAATGATTTGACACACATTTTCATTCTCCTCTCGGAAGTTTGGGACAGCATTAGTGGTAATGTAGAATGGACTGTTGTTCTGTATACATCTTGGCTGGTTGTGCTTGACGGCTGTCAAAAGCCACCCCCCCTGCAGGATTGTCTTGCCAAGGTCGGAGTCCATCCTTTGCACCAACCAGTCATTGATAAGGACAAGTTCTGTCAACTTGTTTATCATTGACACATAGAAGTGATTTTCTTTGATAATGGATGCGATATGTTCTGACGACACAATTCTGAGCAGGACACATTCCCATGATGTTTTCCCTGAATCACTCGGTCCGCACGCGACCAACTTTTGTACCTTTTGCGGCATACGTTGACCAACAAGGCAATGATAAAACTTCTTCAAGAATGCTATTCTCAGTTTTAAGTCCAGAAACGAATTAACAATGGCTGTGGTGGTGTTGTACTGTTGTACGGAATAAATGCGCATGGTGAGATCTTTCCAAAGTGCAAGTTGGGTACGCTGTGCGTAAAGCTCTGCAAACCCATCAACAAGTGATCATGCACATTCACAGATGTGCCCAGATTAACAGTTGGCCTATCAATTCTTCCAGTCAAGGTGACCAGACAACAAGAATGTTATATCTTAACATATGCTCTTTTGGACGATGATTCAAACACTATGTTCTGCATGGAGGTGCTTAAAGATCAGTTGGGTTTAACTAAACAACTAAATTCTCACTAACAACTTGTCATTATTATTATTATTAACTTCATATTTAACCAGGATACCCACATCACCGAAGTGTTTTTCAGTGGGATCCTGCAACTATGACAAAGAACAACAAAGAAACAAAAAGTACTGTTGTTAGACTCAAAGTGTATGATGATCTCAATGACAATGTTTTCCTCCACCTACCAACAGTGTTCATGATGCATTCAATGCTAATAGCTCAAGATGACATACTGAAGCAAGCTGGCGTGGATCAGTGGCCACACTTAAATGGAATATGGTTGGAGCGTATAAACACAGAAGTGGGCTTATTAATTGGCAAGGATAATTTTGCGATGGGCATTGAACAGGCCACTTGGTTGGCACTAAACTAGCCCAACAATTCTAACATTTCTGCAATAAAGGAATTTAATCATAGCATAGCAACTACAATTCTCTCAGGACGACCACAAATCCTACAGCATGGAAGAAACAAGCCGATTGAATGGTCACTATGACATTGTCCTACCTTGGACAAAGGAGGAGCCATGCCCACGTGATAATAAACTGTTAGCATAACATCATCTTAAAATTTTGAAGAAAAAGTTTTTAAATAATCAAGAGTTGTTCCAGAAATACTCCAAGTTTATTGGAAACTTACCTAGTATGGGCTATGCAGAAAGAGTACCGGAAGAAAAATATGATCGATCTGATGGACGCATTTGGCCACATCCCCCAGTGTTCCGTCCGACAAAAGAAAAACTTCTGCTAAGTACAGACGTTTTGTTCAACAGACAACTAACAGAATCCAATTTGAACAATACACTTTAAGGTCATGTACTGATCATGAGTGATATGCCATGTTGCATCAGGTTCGAATTATTCTTGATCAGCAGGACTCTATTGCGGAGGAACATCTGATTTGTTGGAAGAAATGGTTAGCAGAATTACCACAATTAGTAGAATTCTTGGTCAATCATTGTTACAAACCAGTTGAATTTGGTCTGGTTGTGTCCAGTAGATTACATCATTTCCTTGATGCAACTGAAGGTGGTTACAGCACCGTTTTTTATGTACAAACGGTCAATCAGTATAAGAAGATCCACTGCGCTTTCGTGATTGGAAAACCGTGGATAGCTCCACTCAAATCAATGACCATACCAAGACTAGAACTGTTAGCAGCGACCATTTCTGTTCCACTTGACAAAATGGCAAAATGAGAATTAGAATTACCTGTTTATGATTCAGTTTTCTGGACTGACAGCATGTCTGTTCTCTGCTACATCGAAAATGTCTGCAAATGTAAAAATTGCAATCCTTTCTGAAGAGGAATGGTATCATTCACCAACTGACTCACGCCTGGCAAAAAGTGAGCTAAATTCGCCAGAGGTCGCCATTTATTTAGGTCAGCGGATAAACATGCGGAATTGCTAATTTGTCAATATGGCGACCGCGGGGAATTTAAATTTTACACCCGATGAAGTTATTGCCAATATTGCACAAGATCAGTCAATTATAGAGTGTGAAAGTTTCAATAAAAGAGCTAAACATGCTCTGCGTGGTTTAGTAGCTAATTCCGAGGGTGACAATTCCACTTTATTTGTAAATACCGGAGTGCAGCAGCTAGAACGTTTGCACTCCGTGGTATTTAACCAACAAGGGTGCGAGTCAACAAGCCGAGTTGCTGCGTTACTAATACGTCCAATTTATCTGGCGTCGATCTTACAAAACGAGGCTAAGCTATGGCTTAAAAGCATACATCGGCGACTTGGAGCGAGACGTAGCATCCGACATCCATTCTACGCGGAAATTTCAAGGGACATCCCTTATGAAATATTCGCTGTTCTTCGGAATGTTGTGCGCGGCTTAGACGGCTTTGTCGAGCCATTTTGTTTCCACGGCAACAACAAGAAGGCGGAAGTGATTTCGTTCACTAGTGTGCGCCTTGTAAACGAGTTGTTTGTTCTACTTGCGAACTTTTCATCGCCGGTTGTGGCTGGTTATTTCAGGCGAAGCCTTGCAGGTGCCCGAAAAGGACATTGTGCCACGGTAATCGTTTCGGATGTAAAGGACTTTGCTTTTGTCTACAAGAAGGGTTGCGGAAAACTAGTCATTGGGTTTAACTTTGGAGAATGGAATGTGAGTGGATTCCCTCAGCACACTTGACATTTGCTTCTTTTAATACTTGTTGTAGTTTTCTATATGCCAATGAGCAAGAATGTGTCAAAGTGAAGCCAGTTTAGGTGATGCTCTTATTTGCAGATATTTCATTGTTCTATGAGAAGGAGGATTCCTTAGGAGTAATAATTTTCATACCCTAGCTTGAGGAAATTAATCCATGTTTGTACAAATGTACACAAAGTTTTTACTTTTACCTTCTTAAATATTGGCATATATAATTTTACAATGATGCAGGTCAAATGGTAGTGAAAATCTAATTGCCTTTTGCCTTCCCCTAATTAACTATGAAATGTTTCACTGATTTTTGTTCACATAAACTGAGACTAGCATTTTTTTGTAATCTCAGACAAGTTTATTTGCCAAAGAAATGTTGGCTATTAATGGTGGACCATCTCATAATCATGATAATACAGTGTTGCATGAAAAAAAATTCCCAATGGCTAGTTTTCAAACAATACCAAATACCGAAAGCAAAACAAACAATTCATTTACAAGGCCAATGCCTTCTATTCAGGAAACTTGTTGAATCCAAAATGAAATGGAAAACAATTTTCTCATATTGATAGTGCCCAAAATGCACTAATAAACCTGATGGGGGTAAAAATTGCCCCTACATACCTAACCAAAATATTTTTAGAGCAGGCATTTGTACTGCAAAGATATGCATGTATGACAACAACCTGTTATAAAGATGTCACAATGAATAAGTCAAGTAAATCATAATCAAGTTGATTAGTAACAAGTTGAATGATAATATTCTTGTATGTTTGCATGCATGGTGACATCAATATTTAGAATAGCTTGTAGGTACGTACACCACATAAGTATTTAATACTACAAAGGTCTTAGTCTGTTAGCCTGGGCCTTCATTTATTGCACAGATGAAGGCCTAGGTTAACGAGCCTAAAGCCTTGCAGTATTATATAAATACTTATGTGGTGTATTTACAAGCTAATTTAATTAAGTTAAATGATGTATGCATGAAGATAGCAAGATGTGGGGCAGTGTATAGGCAAAAAAAGGCAAAATGGCAATGTGTTTAAATCAGTATCATGTATTCTGAATATTAACAAGATCAAACTAAAGGCCTTGTTACACTGTGCAATTTTTCTTGCAACTTGCAATGCAATTGTTCTTTTAATTAAGAGATCTATGTAAATTTGGCAACTACCAAATTTTTGTCTTTATTACACTCCATGCTGTTTCTTATACATTTTGCAAACTCTTGACTAAATTACATCTCTTAAAAGAGAATTGCATTGCAATTTACAAGAAAAAATGCACCATGTAACAGGGCATAAAGTAAGAAAAAAATTAATCCACAGTGGAGTGTGTTGATGGTAATATCAAGTTACTGTCACAACATATCTTTTCTATAGTTAACTACCTAAGTGGCAATCATATATTTTTGGTTGACATATGCATTTGGCAACCTGAAAGAAACAATGAATTTTGTTACTGTACAAACTGATAGTTTGATAACATACTGTTCCCATAATTACACATTAATTGTTAATTTTAGTGCTCAAATTTTCTGCTGTTACTGTGGCTAAACTTACCATAAAACTGCAAAAGAGTGAACTACATATGGATTGACTTGTTGTTCGTGCATGCATGTGTTCGAGAAATTAGTGCCTATAGTCCATTATTCAATATTGCGTACTTAGATGTTCCTTGAACTCCACTAGGAAACTAGGAATATATTAACCACATTCTCCATTCCTTTCTTTGATAATACACCAATCTGAAACTTGTCCAAAGAAGTTTATATTGTTGTCAACAGCTTTCTGTGGCTTTGTTATTACATGTACTAGCAAAAAGTTCCATCCAAACTTTGCCAAACTATTCCAACAATTCAGATCGTATTCGTCAGAGCATATACATATATATATATGTATATAGGTGATTCCCACTTAGGAATTTCGTTAAATTGTATCTAAATTCTTTGATTGACTTTGCTGCAAATATTCCATTTACGTTTGTGTCCTTCTGGCGATCGTACATGATTATTGCAGTTATCACGGTCTCATCAATGATTTTATTTCATGTTTATAAATCTCGACTTTGCCAGTTGTAAGACTTTTTTTACATTGTGTTTGCAACTCCTTTGAGGCCCTAATTTCTCGAACAAATACAAACGAGCAACAGATCAATCCCGCTGATATCATTCTTCTGCTAGAACAAGATAAATTTATCCAAAGTATTAAACAGCATAAAAATGGCTGGCAATAAAAATAGAGTACTTTTAAAAATCTCGTCATTGCAACTGACGCTTTGTTTCGTCAATACATAGCTAATACTACCACTGTGATATTAACGAACGTCAATGAAAATACACAGTAAAACTGCCTCTTAAGTGCTACTTACATACAGCCTAGCTTACTCGTCTAACAAAATTCTCCATGGCAAGCGAAATATTGAATCAACGTTGCCCTTGGAATACTTAATTTCGTGTCGACTAACAAAACCAATTTCTCTGGGTAGGATAACAGAGCCTAGTATAATCGATTATCATCAACGACAAAGTGCCTTCGATTACGTTTACATTAATCACAATTATGTTAGTCCAGCTATGCCTATGTTAGTCTAGTTAGTATGTTCTAAGTTTCAACAGTTTCTTTCATTTATTTTATGAAGCGGACGTAAAATAAAACTTCGGTCTAAAGCTACATATCTCGTGATTTTTGGGACTTCTAAACTGGCATTACTTTTAGGTGCCATATGCTAATGTGTTAGTGTTCCTCTAACCAAATTTTTTTGTGGAAGAATACTGTTCGAGAAATACAATCACTTTCCAAATAAATGATAGACTACCGCAATTAAAATTTTCGAAAAAAATACTTGGCTCTAAATGAACTTTCTGTTCGGACTTCGGATTGTATATTTACAGCGTAATCATAGTAGACTCAACCTAATGGATTAAGACATACATCAAACATCGAAATAGTTTTTGTACTGGTTTTCTGTTTTCTCTTGTATATTTCAATTTGCAGGACGACGCCCTGTATGTAAAACTGAAAAGGAATTAAGTTGTAAACACCATGCAGTAATAATCAGATGTTGTGCTGTCCTAACCATTAGCCACTATATTACTGAACTGTAAACATACTGTACGTTATCAAGTTTTGACGACGAAGACACCAAAACACGCGCGAGTATAAATAATAGCTTTATTATTAGAGGTCAATGTATACCAACTTTGCCCACAGTTCCCATGCCTTATATATAATGATCATGCATGCAACAGGCAAGTGAGTACAACAAATAGTTTAAGAATTCAATTTGAATGTCGTATACTAGCTGTACCAATGCATGACGGGTGAGTACAACAAATAGTTTAAGAATTCAATTTGAATGTGGTAATGTGGTCGAACTTCGGAACACATGGCAGAGGCAACTGCATTTTAGACCACAACGTTTCCGTTTTCAATACTAACCTTAATTTTATCCCGCAAACCGTCGCTACAAAATCGGCATTCCGTATCAGTTTCCAACTTATTCAAACCACAAGAGCAATATCCATCCTTTTTGACGTGCTTAGGAACATAAGAAAGTTTTGAATGGGAAATAGTGTTAGTACGGTAACCTTTCTCCCGCAACCAAATGAGAGAAATATATTCATGAAGAAATATTTGCTCCCATCGGTGTTGATACACGGTATTTCGGGCATATGTTGCAATAGCAATATGCTTCGCTTCCCTACCTTCCATCGAGTTTAGACCAAGTCCAAATCCATACTTACCCTTCATGTCTTTTGTGTGAGAAGGAACAATATGGCCTAGTGTCCAAATAGTGCTGTTGATGTTGAAAAACAGGTTATATCCGCGATAAAAAGAAGCGCAACGTTCTTCCAGTCTACTTACCTCCTCGTCAGATATAGTGACCCTGCTAAGTAAAGAAACGCAATCACGCAAGCAAAGGCAAAGGTAAGCATGAATGTGAAGAACTTTTTTGCCCATACCTGTTGCAACCTGCTCTAGAATATCAATTAAGAACATAAGATTGTGCAAAAATAACCTGGAATCTTTACCCGTAAACCTATAATCAAAATCTTTTCCCTTCCCACCAGTTTCGTTGAACCATTTTTGAACTTTCTTAGCTAATCTAGAAAGTGAACACTTTGATCTTAATGCGCAAACAAATCTAAAAAAGGGAGACTGCTGGGAAACACGGTTAAATGATGTTGCAGAATCGGGAAGCTTTGACATTGAAATAGCCTTGTTAAGGAGGTGGCGATGAACTAAGGCACAAAGATTATTCTTCAGATGCAGAGGATCCACATGTGCTCGATCTATGAGCTTACCAATGAGTGGAACAAATTCTTGCCTGCTCTTCTTTTCAGCTATAAACTTAGTAACTTTTGACCTTTTGGTTGCCTCAGAGATATTCTGTGCACTTACCTTTTTCTTCAGTTTTTCAACTGCAGCTACAACTTCCAATCTCTGTGAATACTTCCAAGGCTTCCATGTACACAGTTTATCCTTTCCAAAGCTTCCATTCAAGTCCTTGTGGGTATCAGTAGACACATCTGCAAATGAAGAATAATATTTTGCACTATTACTTAGCTCACCACCAAGAAATGCCAACATCTTCATGTCATTTGGTAGTTCTGAAATGTAAAATTTCACATTAATAGGAGAGCCCTTATATGCTAATGTGTATGTGGTGCTCTCAATTCGTCTGATATCTGTAATTAAACGAGCTATAAATCTCATCACCGGCACACAATTTTCATTGCAGTTTGCACCAAACAATAAAAAATTGCTACTTAAAACTCCCTTTCCAATATTCAATATGCTGACCAGCCAAGAACATGAGTTGTCATTTTTCCCGAAGGGAGCACCATCTCCACCTAGAGCGACATAAAAGGTATAAGGCTCAGCACCAAAAGTAAGGATTTCATAGAAATCATTGCACAAATAAAACTCAGCCAGTTTCAACAAAAGTTCCTCCAGGTTTCGGTAGCAGCCATTGACTTTGTCTTGGTCATCCAAATCTTCACAAAGCGTATCCCTAACACTGTACAACTTACCTATGTCTATAGATTTAATGTAAGACATTAGTTTCTGGTAAGGGGCAAGCTTGGGAATAGGGCAGTTGGAGACCTCAATACGAACAGCCTTCTTCCTGGGAACCAAACACTTATACGCAAGCGCTTTACAAACAGACCTATACTTAACTTTACCCATAACGCCTTTACTATAATAAAGAGCAATAGATCTTAACATATTTTCAGTTGAGCTTTCAAATTTGCTAAGATCTTGCTTATATACCTTTGGAAAAATCTTATTTCTAAACTTCCTACCACTACCACTACTCATTGCTTCTGTTATATCCTTCACACTTGATCTTGCATCAATTGCCTCCAATAAACCAACAGTCGCTGGACATTTGTTTTCTTGTGTTGCCCCATGAATTTCTAGTGCTGCGGTCATTGTCTCCTGACATCTTTGCCTTAAGGTGGATTGACTAAGATTTCCATGCGTGCCTGTAGTTGGATTCTTCCTTCTCATTCTAACTGCCTTCTCACTTAAAAAACCTGCCTTCCTATCCTTAACTTTCTTTCTATAGCTACCGATTGCCTCACCACTTTTCAATTCTGCCCTAATTCCTTCCTTATCTTCTATCTCTTCTACATAACCTGCTACCTTTGAATAAGAAATAAAGGCTCATTTTGTATTAGAAAATACACCATTGTGCAATTCATTTAACAATCTGTAATGCCACTATCCTTTACAGAACTATTGTAATTATCAACTAAGGTAGAGTTAATGAGTCTTCAATATTATTGGTAGTTCAAATTGCAGCAAATACAAGTATTATATATATAACACAGAGCAAGACTGTAAGTTGACAATAAACATAATAGGCTATAGCAATGGGAATAGGGTTTTTTTCAAATTGACGGTACATAAAGTTATACCTTCATCATGCCCAACTCAGATTTTAGGATTTACTTATGCTTGATCATGAATAATACATGATATTATCCAAGTGCATACAGTAATAATGAAATATCTTGACAAATATCATTACTATGGACCTATTTTGTCGACTGTATGTACATTTGCACCTTATGAAACCATTTCTAAGAACCAGAAGGCTAGGTTTAAGACGATATCTCTAGAACAGATTGCTAATATAAAAATTTATACAATAATAATACATAGTTCTATTAAAGGGCAAAAACAGTTGAGTCAAGCCCTCAAACTCGAAGAATGCAATGACATCAAAAGTCAAAATGCCGTAGATTTTATTAAAACAAAAGTAGATATAGCGTAGTATTTATAACCAAATATTACTTACCTTCTTATCAAGACGATCTAGCCTCTTTCTCAGAGCATCCACTTTCTTTTCCCTAGCGAGGGTCGCTTCTATTAGTTTGGCTTTCTCCTTGCGACTTTCGGCCATATACGCAGCGACGTCAAAATGCTTCCCTTTTCTGCGAGGCATATTTACTTAACCAGACCAAAGATGCCAAAACAAAAACGATAGGTATATAGAACGAGCTCTTATCTATTCCTTCGCATAATAAAATCCAGAGCAAAAGTCCAGAGAAAAAAAAAATAACGAATGACAAAAATTAACATTTTCGCACGGCCAACGCGAAGGCGCCATTAGGCCAAAACAATGCTAGGGTAAGCGGTTGTCAGCGCGTGATCAAAGTAGTTGCCTAGGGACACTTGGTATCGTTAGAAAGCTCAAATTATCCGCTTGTTACCCTTGAGAAAACAATTTATCAAATGACAACCCTCTTTGCACACGAGTAAACGCAATTTAACAAAATTTCTCTTGCGCAAACTCGTCACCAGTTTCTCAAAAGATTATTTGCTACAAGCGAAAAATCTGGACATTCTCCTCTGGCGAATTCAGCGCACTTTTTGCCAGACGTGACTATCCGGTGCAATCCAGCGCAGAATGGTGTGTGGTAGAGAGGATGAACCGCACAATCATCGAAACAACTAGATCTATGTTGTCTCATGCAACGATGCTGAATGAATTCTGGTTGGAGGCTGACCTTTCAAGATAGATTCACAAACTAAGTCCTCAATATTGGAGAACGAAGAACGTAAATACCTCCTAATAGATTTGATGAGGAATGCTACATAGTGTATGATTTAACAGCAGATATTAATGTTAACAAAGCCTTTTCTGGAGAACATTCAACAGAATGGAAACAAGCTTGTGATTCCGAATGTAACCCACGAATTGAGAATGACACCTGGGAACTTGTCCTGTTACCCAAAGAAAAGAACATTGTAGGAAGCATGGGTGTTTAAAGTGAAAAGAGACAAAAACAGTGATGTTCAAAGATACAAAGCTCAACTAGTAGTTCAAGGCTATGCGTAAGCTGAAGGAATCGACTACTCTTAGGTTTTTTCTCCTGTCATGCGTAATACAATGATTTGAACATTACTTGCTTTGCAAAAAGCCAAGGATTGGGAAATCCATAAAATGGACATCAAAACGCTATTCCTACAAGGAAATTTGGCCGAATTATATAGGCAAAAACTAGACAGTTACGTAGATAAGAGATTATTCAAATTAACTATGCAAATTGTGCTTGTATGCCCAAGAAAAGTATATATGGTTTAACCATCCACACATTGCTGGAACAATGCAATTGATACATTTGTGAAGTTATGTAAATATGAGCAAATGAAATCCATGTTTGTACATGAAATCAGTCAAAGATCAGAATGGAATTATCATATTCCTTATCCTATTAATCCATGTTGACAATATTCCACTATTTTCCAATGATCGTCCATGCTAAGCAAAGAAAAGAAGCTTATCAGTTTGAAGTTCAAACAGACTGGTATTTGAAAGCAAAGATTCAAAATATTCATTCACTGGTTTCTCAGATGCAGATTGGGCAAATGACCCAGATACAACAAGTTCGCTATCTGAATATGTCTTTCAGATCAAAACAGTTAGTGTCAGTTGATCTTGTTGTTCTTTCATGGTTTTGAGTTTGTGGCATAACGTTTTTGTCAATGGTTACCATCCCATATATGCACTTAAAGTAGAAGGCAAGATCGAGAAACTCGTGCTAATAGCAGAGTGGTAGGAGATCCAACATATCTAGTCTCTGAATGAGCCCGTTGGTCATTAGAAACATATTTTCTGAAGTTGATCTTTGGTCTTCTGAGTCTGCAGCCCAACCGGCATCGGAATACCCTTTGTCACTTGTTTTTTACTGCAGGTGGAATGTAATTGTTCCTTTCAGATTACGAAATACTCGCTTGACAGCGGTAAGGTGTGCTTCCTTTGGAGAGTTGAACTTTGCCCAAGTACCAAGAGTTGGTACAGGTTTACAATCTTGTAATTGCTTCTTTATTCTTTCTCTGAGCATGCATCATTCTGATTTTTGATATCCAATTGAACTTCAGTTGTATGTCCAAAATCAAATTCATTAAAGGTGACATCTCGATGGATGAAGGATTTTATGTTTGTCTTCATTGTACAATCCACTTTTTATATAATCTTTAACTATACTAAAAAAGCGAGCAAGGATTTAGTATATTGGCAGCGGTTAAATTAAAGAACAGTAAATTTTGTGACATTTCTGCAAATATACCTATTATTAAATTCACCAACCTATGTATTTTATTTATCAAGTTAGTAATTTACAGCCTTTAATTAAGTTTCGGATTAGCATTTGTATTGTTATTTAAGTTTTGTTTGCAAGGGTTAAAATATATCAATAAATATGCAAGCATACTATTAATATGGTAAATACCTGTTGATTAATATTGCTTTTACTCCTGATGTGTTTGCTCCTCTACATGATAGCCACCTTTTTAACTGCACAACAGTGCATTGTTCTATTGTTTCCCGGAATATCTTTCTCACTTAGTGGAATATTTTCGTCCATTTAACAGTATATTTGTTTTTATTTCAAACTTGCCCAAGCTTGTCCCTCCAAACAATACATAGATGCATTGCGAGTCATGACTAGACCCAGTACCTTGCTCGATTGGGAAAAGGCTAATTGCTTGAGTTTTGCCAAGATTAAACAGTGGTCAACAGAGTCAAAGGCTTTTGCAAAATGTAAATAAGTCATGTCACGTTGTTTGTTGTAGTTAAAGTTTTCTCCAATCTTGTGAACAACCTGTAGCATTAAAGGTGACATCTGGATGGATGAAGGATTTTACGTTTGTCTTCATTGTACAATCCACTTTTTATATAATCTTTAATTATACGAAAAAAGTGAGCAAGGATTTAGTATATCGGCAGCGGTTAAATTAAAGAACAGTAAATTTTGTGACATTTCTGCAAATATACCTATTGTAATAATTACCGTTTAGGGTTCGCTTTGTATATTTGTTCTTTATATTCAATCGTTTTCGTTAAACAACTCTCTCACTATATATTTCAATCGAGCACACAATTTTTGTACACTATCTGTTCAAAACCGTACAATATCCAATATGATTACATGATTGACAGGACATACAATTAAACTAATTGTTCTATAAATATCCACTATGTAGTGTATAAGTGTTCACGTGAACAAAATATAAATATGCGATCTACAGTTTCTCACACTCCCGGCGTTGATCACACTAGAGTGATCAAAATATACTTGTTAACCTTAATATAATGTACTTAAATCATTCCCTTTCGTAAAAGTTCTCCAACTACTGCAGCAGTTCTTCTCGTTCGTTGATTGGTTGAGACTTCTTCAACACGGGCAGCTATACCATCTTCGTGCTGTACCGTTTCTGTATCTTGTCTCAATGTCAACTCTAAGGGGACTAAATGCTGAATAGGTCGACGTAGTTCGATCACTCGAGATCTTCCAGAGTTTAACGCGCAAACCTTTGCTGCATGAGTTACACCGTCTTTGCTCTTTATGAGCTCTTTCACACGCGCTAACTTCCAAAACACACGGGAAGTTTAGTCATTTTTCAGAACAACCACATCGCCAACCGCTACGAAATCCCGTGATGGACCTTTATGTACGCGAGCGGTCTCTCGTAGACTCAGTAAATATTCTGTTTTCCATCAAGTTGTAAATTGCTCGAGTAAGCGTCGGTGTTTCTTTGCTCTTTTGGTCAACACGTTGTTCGTGCTGATGATATCGAACTGTCGATCACTAGGTGTCAGTGATATCTGTCTTCCATAGATTAATTGTGAAGGTGTTAGTGGGTACGAGATTCCCTCTTCGTCGTCATACATATACATGAGCGGTCTATTATTTATAGTCGTTTCGATTTCAACTAAAAGTGTTCTTAAAGATTCGAAATCCACCGAAGATCGTCCAAGAATCTTCTTTAAACATCTCTTAGTACTTTGAATCATTCGCTCGTAGAATCCTCCCTGCCATGGTGCTTTTTCTATGATGAAATCCCATTTTATTCCCTTCGAAGCCATTTCTTGTTGAATTTCTACCAATCTCAAGATATTTTTTACCTCCTTTGATGCGCTCTTAGATGTTTTAGCATTGTCTGTTATTAATCGTGAAGGTAAACCTCTTCGAGATACAAATCGTCGAAATGCTTGAAGAAATAAAGGAACACTCAAACTTGGAACAAGTTCCAAATGGACAGCTCTCGTGGAGCAGCACGTAAACAAGCAAATATATACTTTCTCTGATTTCCCATTACTTGTAGAATACAGGGGGCCTGCAAAGTCAATGCCTGTGTTTGAAAATGGAGGTTCTTCGCTTACTCTACTTGATGGTAAAACAGGTTCCTTTTCTGCAGCAAAGGGCTTCGCTTCGAATCTTTTACAAGTCACACATTGTCTTAAGACACTCTTTACTCTTTCTCGTCCTTGTAAAACCCAATATTTTCCACGCACGCAATTTAAGGTTTCCCTGATTCCATCGTGATGTACTAATTTGTGACTTTCGTGGATAACCATGTTCGTAAATTCGTGCTTCGATGGCAAAAGTATCGGTTGTTTTGCTTCGTCAGGCATCGTAGAATGATTAATTCGACCGTCACAACGAATAATATGATCCTCGTCAAGAAACAACCCAAGTTGTTGCGCTCATGCATTCTTGCGATCGATGTGATGAAGACTGTTGATTTCTTCGGCAAATGCGATAGATTGAATACTTCTTATCCATAATTTCTCAGCTTCTATTAATTCATCAGCGGTTAATTCAATTGACGTTGTGCGTAGTTGCTTACTAATCTTTCGTATGAATCGAATTACTCGTGCTGTTACGCGAAGCAACTTTATCTTAGTGCTATATCTCTTGGGGTCAATGATTTCTTCGATATGGACAAAATCATTTAGCGATCTATCATACAACAAGTGTACGATTTCAGTTGGATTTTTCATTTCTTCGCTTAGAACCTCGTCATTGACTTTACTTGGAGGTTGAGGATCCTGTGGCCAATGTTCCCGTGAAGTCTGTAAGAACTTTGGACCATTCCACCATGTTTCAGCTTCTGCTAGTTCACGTCCCGAGCAACCACGAGATGGCAGATCAGCAGGATTCAATTCCCCAGGGCAATGTCTCCATTCGTAGTTGCTTGTTAGTTCTCTTATCTCGTTTACTCGGTTCTGAACATAAGTCTTCCATACCTTATGGTTTCGAATCCAACATAAAGTGGTGAACGAGTCCGTCCATAAGACAACATTGGTTATTAACTTGATTGACGTGAGTGCCTTGATAATCGTGTCGACCAATCGGGCTAGTATATTTGCTCCTAACAACTCGAGCCTCGGTATAGTTTGTCTTTTAATAGATGCAACTCTTGTCTTGGACACGATCAAGGACAATTCAACATCTCCATTACTATACTCTGTGCGAAGGTAAACGACAGCAGCGAACGCAAGATCAGAAGCATCACTGAAACCGTGAATCTCATGGTTTCGAGACAATTCGTCTGTATGGTGGAAGTAACAGCGTGCCACAGGTATATCACTCAGGGCTTGTAGATCGTTCACAAGAGACTTCCAGCTTGCTAATGTTTTGCCGTCTAACTCGTCATCCCAATCTAAGCTACCAGAACAGAGGGTTTGAAATAATATCTTCATGGTTACTGTAAATGGAGCGAAAAGACCGATAGGGTCGAAGACCTTGGCTGAAAGTTTGAGCACAGACCGTTCAGTGGGGGGAAGGGAATTAGAGTATTCAACTAATTCACTGAGATCGTAACAAAATTCATCGCTGTACTCATTCCAACTTGTCCCAAGAATGTTTACGCAATTCTGCTTAGACGCCAGGGGATTTTGTGATGTTTGGCATGATAACGAATCTTCGACAAAGCTTTCTTCAGTGTCATTCTTTGTATTGCAACTGCTGTGCTTTAACTTTGATTTAGGCAGTTCGTCCTTTGAGCCTTCGATAGCATTTTCTTGTGCTGAGATGCAATTTCGAATGTATTCAGAGTTCGAATGCCATTTTCGAAGTTTGAAACCAACCTTACTCATTAGATCTTGAGACTTTCGATAGATATCCAGTGCTTCGTCGTCATCATAAGCCCCTCCAGCAAAATCATCCACATTCAGGGACTCAAGTAGCAAGGCGACTATTTCTGGCTCGATTTCCTTATATTTTGAAAGATGATGAGCTATAATGCTGGACAGGATAGAAGGGCTTGAGGTTAAACCAAATGGCAGGCGTCGAAACTCATATTCCTTGACAGTTGGGGAATCTTGATTGATATCCTCGAACCAAAGAAACTTCAACATCTTTCGATCATCAGTAGCAATTGCAATTTGATGAAAGGCCTTCTCAATATTGGCGAGAAGTCCGATAGGATAGCCACGAAAATTTACTACGGTATCGAACAGATGTGGGACTAAATTCGGCCCCTTTTCAAGACAATCGTTCAAAGACACGTCATCTTTGGACGATCTTGCTGAACCATCGAATACGACTCTCAATTTTATAGTCTCTTTATCTTCACTTTGTACTCCGTGATGAGGTAAATAATGGCTGCGTTGTCCAGGTTCAACTACAGATTCTATAATTCCACTTTTCGATTGTTCCTTAATTATGTTGTCATACTGTTCGAGTAAAGATTTGTCTTTATCGAGACGAGCCTTGAGTTGATAAAGTCGCTTCAAACACATACTATACCCAGTCGATTTTGGAACGCACTTGTCTTTCCACGGTAAACTAACTTCGTACCTTGCATCATTCTCGAGATAGTTTATATCCCTTAAAAACTCTTCTTTTTTAGCTTCTTCCCCCGCAATACCGATTGATTCAATTTCCCAGAACCTACGTAAGCAACTCAAAAGTTCGGATTCGTCTTCTCTTGGTGTGAAATCGACCACTTTCACCACGTATCATTTCACCCGTAAGAATATCAAAGTAATAATCCGCACCAATGAGTATATCAATATTGCTTCTGACGTCTCTACGCCTTCGATGATGTTGGAATCTGAAAGCTGTAAATCTTGTAGGTGGGGATATAAACTAAGGTCGATTGTGCTTGTCAAAGGAGAGCAAAGATTTGGGAAACAAAGTGCGTCTATTTTTCGGCGACCACTGTTTCCTTTCAGTACTAACTGGACTACATCACATCGTCGTTTTGTAAAGTGATAATTCCCAAAGGTATTCAAATTAAGGGTCTCGGTTCGAATAGGGGACAGCTCGAGTCATTTTTTCAATGAGTTGGTGATGTAAGAACGCTGGCTACCACTGTCTAAAAGTAAACGAACTGGTTTTGAATTTGAACCATTCTTTACTTGCGCATATGTAACTGCTGTTTGTAGTAGGACTTTATTTCGGGTTTTGGTTGTAGTCGTCATTGAATTATCTGCACCAGTTGCCTGATCTGTCCCAATAGAATTCTCGGGGGGAGTCATTTTGTCTCTACCATTTATCACAGTGGTGGTATTAGTGTTTTGAGGATCTTTTGTTGGAATTGACTCTTCGTTTCCATGGGATGCGTTTGATTTATCTACTCAGAAGGAAGGTGGTACATCATTAGGGGGCTTAGAGGCTTCACATATCGATTGATGCTGTCGACTGTTACAATGTCTACAACTTTTCTTTGACACGCACCGGGAACTCCGATGACCTTTTCCCAAACATACAAAACAGCGATTGTCTCTCCTCAATATATCTTTGCGTTCATTTGGGTTGGTCACACGATCACATGATGCCGAAAAATGAAATTCCTTGCAGTAAACACATTGAATTTGTTTACCACTTCGGTCTTGAGCAGTGAATGCACCAGCAGAGGGTACTCTAGGGGAGTAGAGTGGGGCACCCGATTTTTTACCTTGAAGATTTGACTGAACTCCTTCACTTACTTCCCGTGCTTCAACTTCCGTTTTTATTGTGTCAAGCAGCTCATCAATTTCCCAAACCTCGCTAGTCGACTTGTGGGAAATTTCGAGACGGATTTCACTGGGCAATTTTTACATAATGATTGGGATTAACATACTTCCGTATTGTTGTGAAGAAACCCCAATAGACGCTAAGCCTCGGACATGAACTCTTATTTGATCATAAACATATCTCAACTGATTTGTTTTGCCATTGGTACAGGCTTGTACCTTCAAAATTTCGTCCATGTGAGCCGCTATAATCTGCTGAGATTTCCCAAATCTTTCATGCAGAATTGTTATCGCAGCGTCATAATTTGCACTGGTCAATGTAAGACCTTTTATTGCTCGCGCTGCTTGCCCTTCGAGTAACAAATGTAAATAGTTAAACTTATTAACTTTCGAAATAGTTTGATTGCTATGAATCGATGAATTGTATAAGTCCCAAAAAGAACACCAATCAATCACTTTACCTCCAAATTTGGGGAGTTCCAACTTCAGTAGTTTTGGTAAACTTGATGTGAAATGTCCTAATGACGTTGCTGAAATATTTGTACCAATAGCTGACATTGCTGATTGCTGTCTTAAAGGTGAATCGTTTCCTGAATTTAAACTCGTATTTCCTTCGTTTTCATTCCCCACGCTCGTCGTCGTTGTTCTCGTTGAACTTTTGTTTGTATTCGTCGCATTTTCCTGCTCTGTAGTTGAGCTTGAAGTCGCATTTGCATCGTTTACGCTCAAAATAACATCGTATTTTTTAATAGCGTTTATTTGCTTGTCGATTTTTCGTTTCCCAGCTGATTCTTCGATCTCCGTTTCGATTTCGCTTACATCGCATAAGTTTAAAATTTCCTCGTCAATTTTAACTAATAATGTCACCTTTTCCTTAAGCTGAGCAGCTATAACTTCACATCTTTCAATATTTTCTGTTTCAGGAGTCTTCAGCAACTCGGTCGCTTCTTTCATAAGTTTGGTAGACATGCCGCGATGGCGACCTCGCCGTGCTCGTAGCCTTTCTAGTTTATTCGAATAGCAGACTTTTAATATTCTTAAAAAGCCTGCCCCACGTTGGGCGCCACGTAATAATTACCGTTCAGGGTTCGCTTCGTATATTTGATCTTTAAATTTAATCGTTTTCGTTAAACAACTCTCTCACTATATATATTTCAATCGAGCACACAATTTTTGTACACTATCTGTTCAAAACCGTACAATATCCAATATGATTACATGATTGACAGGACATACAATTAAACTAATTGTTCTATAAATATCCACTATGTAGTGTATAAGTGTTCACGTGAACAAAATATAAATATGCGATCTACAGTATGCTACTCCAAACGTGACAAAATATCAAGTTCATATATATACAACAATTAATCATTTTTTGCAATAATTCTGATTATTTCACAGTCAAAATGTTATTTTTTATATCAAGTACAATATTTTACAGTCAACGTGTTTGTTTTTATATCAAGTTGTGCTGCATGTTTTCATATCAACTCATTGTATTTTACATCAAGTGTTACACATTTTTATAAATCAAGTTTGCTCATGCATATTTATATATCAAGAAGGGAGAAGGCATATTTTGATCAGGATATTAAAACAGGGGGAGAACCAAACGGGGAAATAATTTCGTCCGCCCGGGGGACGGAGAAGCGTTAACTATTGATACATAAACCTTTTCTCGGGGGGGGGGGGGGTAGAACGTTGATGCTTTTTTCAAAATGGCGGCTTTCCACAACAGATTTTTTTTTATCCCAGATGTTGGCGAATTTTTTAACGCTCTCCTTGATCTTCTTCGGCAGAGTGCCGCAAATGATATCCGTGGAGATACAGCAGAGTTTTGCACTAGACACTTAGAAGAATACCAGCGTACTATAGGTTTAATGTACAGTCGACTAAGAGAATATAGACTTAACTCAACTGAAGTTACCGAACAACTTGTCGAGGACATGGGAACACTTATTAATGTGATTGGATTGAGAATAGAAAGACTTGAACCTCTTTTTAATGACGAACATTTTCAGCAAAGTGATTTACATGAAAACAATGAAGCACTTGGTGCACGCAACGGTAACAGTTGTGTTGGCAGGCCCCGTGTAGAGATAACACAAGAGCAAGTAGAGATTCTTAGACACAATCTTGGTTTTAACTGGACAGATATTGCCAGAATTTTTGGAGTGTCTTCTAGAACACTTAACCGTCGCAGACAAGAATTTGGTATGTCTGTCGGACATGAACACAACTTTTCATCCCTAACAGACAATGAATTAGATATTCTTGTGCAGGAAATATTGTCAATCACACCACAATCAGGAGTTGGATTGGTCCTAGGAGCACTAAGATCAAGAGGATTAAGGGTACAACGACGTTGAGTGCTGGAAAGTTTGAGACGCCTTGACCCTATAACTTCGGTATGACCCTATAACTAATCATGTATGTATTATCTTGTTTCAGGCATATTGATGGTGATCACAAACTTATAGAACCATATCGTTTTGTTATACACGGAGGTATTGACGGTTATTCCCGACTAATAGTTTATTTGAGGGCGTCCACCAATAACCGAGCAGAAACCGTTTTACAACTCTTTCTGCAGGCAACAACAACGTACAACATTCCCTCTAGAGTCCGAAGTGACATGGGCCTAGAAAACATAGATGTGGCAAGATTTATGTTAAATACAAGAGGATTAAATAGAGGTAGCATAATTACTGGAAACTCTGTCCATAATCAAAGAATAGAAAGGCTTTGGCGTGAAGTTAATCGTATTGTGGTGAGTCGATTTCTCAACATATTCCTGTTTCTTGAAAACACAGGGAATTTCATACCAACTAATGAAGCCCATCTTTACTGCCTGCACATAGTATCCCTTCCATTAATTAATGCTTCTTTAAGTGAACTAATTGCTCAGTGGAATGATCATCCAGTAAGTACCGAATCAAACTTAAGTCCACGACAAATGTGGTCGCAAGGAATGTTGGAAAGGAGATATTCAAATCTTACTGCAGTACAAGATGTCATGTGCAACAATTCTGTGAACTTTGAAGATTTTGGCATTGAGGAAGAAGGTCCTGTTTCTACTTTGCATCCACCTGTAGTAACTGTACCACAGTCTACTATAGAACTTTCAGTGGAGGATGAGAGAACTATTCAACAAGCACTTAGCACTATTCCTTCAAATGAGAATGGAATCACCTCGTATATTGCAGCTCTGCAAGTAATTGAAAGAATAAATGGTCTTGATTAAATTTATGTACAAACATAATGAAACACTTTAATAGAAGCTATGTTAAATATGACAAATGTAAAATTGATCATTCCAGAAAACATCCATACCTCCCCCACGGATGAAATTTGAAGTTAACCCCCCTATCCCCTTCGGATGTTCTGATACACTTACTATTGTCAGAAACAAATTTCCCCTCTGGACGGCACAAATTTCCTCCTTGGGGGGAGTATGGATTTTTCTGGAACAACCCAATGGCAAATCATAATGTCATTATTCATTGTCATTTTGACAGTTACACAATGATACTGTCATGCTAAGTAACACCAAGTATTTTTAGTTTAATGCATTTTTAAACTACAATCCTGGCCAAAACCATTGACTACACTCAAAATGATTTTTATGCAAAACATCAACATTTCTGTCTCGACTTCCCCCCTCGCCCCCCTAATCAATGTTGAGCCCATGCTGAATACTTGAATAAGTTCTTACACATCACCCAACATTGATTTGTGGGGGAAAGGGGGAGAATTTTGAAATATATTCCGTGACTACT